CGCTTGGGGTGAGATGGAGCGACGTTTACAGAATTGGGACTAGCGTTGGTTCAGACGTGGAACAACATTCCCCTAGCTTTCTTCAATCGCTTAGGGTCATCTATACGTCGGCGTTATCAAACCTGCATCAACGCCAATGGTGCACACACACGATAGAATTTGTGCACTGACTTTTGACTGCACATCTCTTCAAGAACAGTCATTCAGGACAACACCACAAATCATATTATTATCTTTTTGCACGGAAAAATGGCATGACATCACATAATGCACAGTTACTATTCACAGTTACTAATATACTTCCAGTAGTATATACCAGTGTTAACGTCATAAAGCTGGTTGTAACTGCCTATGTGAGTTACGTTTGGTTTCCTGATTACTGTACTGTATGCGGAACATGATCGAATCCATATCGTGATGCTGTTGACAGGACCGACATATCCACGTCTCTCGGTCATTAAGGAGAATTCAGCTCAAGTTCGGATTCATTGTTTATTTAGGGAAATCATGTGTTAACATTAACAAAATCCGCTAGTAACAGTTTGACTATTTTTCTCAACAGGATATGAGTGTCACAACATTAACGCTTAGTCTAAGAAAATATATAATTGTTTGTATACTTCTGTAACCAAAATGTTAAATGCTACCTCTGTTATTGAGATGAATTAATCAAGTGTTGGAGACATTACTTACATGGTACTCAAGGCATAAATGTCAAGATGAACCCCACGATTGTTCACTGAATTAGAGAAAATGAAGTAATTTAGGATCTTGTACGACAAAACACCCCGTCTTTTCCTAAAAGCTTTTCCACCTCAGTTAGCAATGTAAGAAAACATTTACCACCTTTGGACACCGTACTCTGTGAAAATGACATCCTGAGAACATCGCGCTGGGTGTGTAATGTGTGCACTGACGTGCACTGGAGAAGGATATTGTCGTCCTCACAAGTCTCCCACCAGTCCAGGGAACATTGGTGATGCATTATCTCCCGTGAAACGTCTACTGAATGCTCAGTATGGCGGTAAGTGATTCATGGGTTGGACACCACCATACCATCGAAACACCAGATAAGTTCTGGTGTTGTTGCGGTTAGTGGCCTTTGAGAATGGGGGTCGTCTAGAAGGCCCTCCCTGTGATGACATGTGGTCATAAACTGACCACTGAAATTCTATTTTATGCACTTATGCGGTATACAAGGGATGCTGATTATTTAAAAAATATGTAGTATATACCGGTGATGTATACAAGGGCCCATGACCTTTGCAATTACCTTTTATATAACGATGACGTATGCATTTTTTTTTTGCGTAAATGATAATGGTATATTATGCGATGGATGAAGGAGTTAGTGAGTATGGTTTTACGTCGCCTGTAGCATTATTCCTGCAATGACACGGCGGGGGACACCAGAAAGTGGCTTCACACATTGTACCCATATGGGGAATCGAACCCGGGTCTTTGCGTGACGAGCAAACGCTTTAACCACTAGGTTACCCACCGCCCCCCGATGGATGAATGAAAAGCAACTGATGAACTTCGTTAAAAGAGTATTTTCCAACATAATAATTCCTCCCTAGGACCACACACTTCTCCACAGTTGCAGTTAAGTCAGTCGTCGTCATTTGCTGAAAGTGTGTCAGACAAATCTGTCATCACTTTTGGAAAAAGATGTAGATCTCTTTGAGGTGACATATCGTTCATTCAAATCGTGTCATGGGGCGATGGGGTAGCCTAGTGGTTGAAGCGTTGGTTCGTCACGCCGGAGACCCGGGTTCGATTCCCCACGTGCGTACAATGTGTGAAGGCCATTTCTGGTGTTCCCAGTCGTGATATTTATTCACTCACTCACTCATCGTATCATGCATTATATCAACATTTTAGTGGTGGAATTTCAATGTTTTCCTGGAATTTGGGCATCTTTAAGACCCTCTACTCCTTTTTTTTGAAATCTTCATGCAAGCATGGAAGGTATTGTGCTTATCGCATGCAAACTGTTAAGGGCTTACTGCCTTAGGTTCAGCTACCCGTAACAAATGCTGAGTGAGGCGTTAAACAACAAACCAAGCAACCTCATTGTGGGAATTGGTCAGGGGAGCTTTGGTGTCAGCCAAAATACTATGAGAGCGGGCTGTTTCTGGGAATGTCAGTAGCTTCATTCGGCTTAACTGGGATCAGCCAATTACTCGCATATGGCCTTGTTGCTGGCAAGGATAGTCCGATATGCACAATGATATCGACATGTAATAAATTTGAAACAATTTATACACATGATTGAGTTTAAAAGTGGTCTGTTGTTTGGTCGATGTTTATGACAAGGTATTCCTCCCTGATTTGCCTAGAAAGTGAATGTCAAAGCAAGAATAACATATTTTATCTTGTCTCCTATCAAGTTTCTGCATGCCGAGTTGACTCTGCATCCTCATTTCAGTCACGGGTGTTTTAAGTGCCGATTGGGCGCCAGTAGACCCTGTAACAGTTACCTATTGATCTGACCGTTCCACGTTGTCATGGGAAATGTAAGCTCAAGCTCTACACACTACACACTAAACACTACACTTGGGGGATGCTAAGTCAAGGAATGAGAGGTGAGGGTGGCGCACATTCATACAATAATTCAATCAACCCCAGGTTTTATACTCACATAGGTCTACTCAATCCCTCTCTTCATTACTGGACAGGACAGGGCAAGCTCTTTACCAGACGTGGACCTGCAACGATCGAGCTGCAAACGTTCTGCTGACTTTGAAACCCGCACCACTTTGCTGTTGGTGACAGTGTCTTTTTAAGGTGTTCGAACCTGCTCCGCCCTTGTCACACGTCCCTATACAATATTTCTGATTTGTTTAAAGTTACATCATTCCATGGCCTCATGTCCTACCTCGTGATTGGTGAATTACTGTGAACTATCCATCAATGATTAACTAATACTTTAAGAATCTTTTGTGGTTCTGTTACTCCCAGTTATGATGTTCTATATCCCTTGATTATTTAGCAAGCAACCTATAACACGGCAAGATGTCCCCTAATCTAATTGACACTACTGGTGGACACACAGTCACGGGAAAAAAGATACGGAGAAGGACTAATTTCGACTAATCACCTTCTAACGTCGCTAACATAATCATAAGCAGAACTTCAAAGCGCTCCCACATAACAGCTGTCATGAAAAAACTCCACTGGCTGCCTGTTAAATCAAGAATTGACTTTAAAATATTGTGTTTTGTGTACAAATGCCTCAATGGCAAAGGCCCAGAATACTTGAAAGAACTTCTTACCCCATACACTCCAGAAAGACAGCTCCGTTCTCAGAATCTGAACCTTCTCTCTGTGCCTCGGTTCAAACTGCAAACTTTTGGAAGGAAATCCTTTGCCTGCTCTGCCCCTCTACTCTGGAACTCTCTCCCTATCACCATTAAGTCATCAGTTGATTTTAATTCCTTCAAACGACTTCTCAAGACTCATCTGTTTTCACTGCACTATGACTAGCTACTAGTCCCTCATTGTATATATGTATATTATCCACCCACTTTGTTAGCGCTTTGAGCATGGGCCTTGTGCATGGAAAAGGTGCATTATAAGTTCACATTTATTATCATTATTATTACCTGGGCGTCTAAAAGAAACGCATTGACATCAACTTTCATCATGCGTTAGGTATGAAAATAGGACATTCACTGGATGAATGTTTTCTGGTTGTTTATTCCCTTACCGTTTCAATATGGAGACATGAACACACATAGAGACGTGCATATGCGAATATACAACAATACAATGCTGCTACTGTTGCGGGTGATCTCCCTGTAAAGTGCAGAACATTAACCTCCGTAGTTTGGTAGAAGACTGCTGCATTAAACACGTCTGCGCTTCTTCGCATGAATGTTTTGAACCTGTCTGTACACAGAACTGCGGACTGATGGTGTATTTTGTTTGTAGATCTCGAAGCATGTCACTTTTTCTGCTTCAGTAAGCTGCATGCGTCGTGATCTAGCGACAGCTAAAATATGATTCAGTTCCCGAGGCACTCGCTTTCAAATACGAGTAATTGTTTGTTTCTTCACTTATCGAGTTGGAAACCAAAAGCCGTTATATCTTCCATTTCGCCTCAGCAAGAAAAATCTGTACATTCTTGATTTTAGAAATGTGCTTAATCGCACTTAAAAGTACACACATTTGAGAGCAGATATATGAGGAAGTGAATTGTTTTGCAGTTTTCCCTTGAATCCCATTCGTGTACACCGGCCCATGGTTGTTACTGTCTTTGTAGCAAGAGGTGTGTATCAAAGTTAGTGAGTGAGTGAGTTAATATTTAACGTCACATCGGCAATATCGCAGCCATATCGTGACGAAAACAATTTATACAATAAAAAGTGAAATGAGAACATTTGACATAGAAATGGAATATATGTACGTTATAAAAACCTATCGACGAAGGACAGTAAAACAACTAGAATATCACAATTACAACTAAAACTAGTATGGAGAGTTAAAACTGATAGCACTATTTGGACAATACAATATAAAAACAAGCTATAGATCGCCAACACCAGAAGGTAGATCACCATACCAGGGACCATGGGGACTTACAGTACCTTGGCTACCTGCATGGACCCTAGTTGGATTTACACCATCCCTTCAGCTGCTGGCGATTGTAAGATATGTTAGCCCAAATTAAAATGACAAGAATGCTACGTTTAAAAATCCTGGCAAGTTTAAATTGACTTTGAACATTTTGGACTTACGTACCCACTCAGGAGGACAATAATTTTACACTACTTCAACCCCCTTTGAGGGTACAGCCACTAACAATCTCAGTTACTAATCTAAACTACCAATAATAAAATAAGTATCTATTTACAAATCAGTTAACAGTTTAATTCTTTTAAAAATGCAATAATTAAATGAGAACTTATATTACTAAAAAGATCCTTCATAGTTTGTGATTTGAAATAGATATCCCTTGTGATGGAATATTCAACACAGTCAAGCAGGACATAAGACTACCGTAGCCTGGTAAAATGATAAACTTCTATAGCAATGTAAGTCAACAGAATTACATGTCACTTTAATCTCTGTATGTTGACATATGGTGCAGACATGCACTGGTGTAACAATCATGATTTCACTAATACTTCACATCATCCTGTTTTACATCCAGAGTCCGTGCATCCATTCTCTGTAAATCCTTTCTTCTTACCACGCCAACAGCTGCTGCCAACACTGAACTCAATACCATGGACGATCCTGGTAACATGAAATAGCACAGAACAGTGCAGATGTCAATGTAAAACATATTTCCAAAACATTATTGTATGGCGATTCAGGGTGACATAAAGGCTTGGCAATTTAATCTTTCCACATAATTTTATATGACAGATCACACAATGACTGAACCTTTCATTATCTGTGTATGTTGTATTCACTGGGATTGACATAAAATCGTACCTGCAAAAACGTATGTAAAATCGTAAGCGCCACTTAACTTATAAATCCAACCTGAAAATATAGATTATTGGTATATTAGACAAAACAACACTGCTTTCTTTGAATATTTACTTCAAGTCGAATTAAGGTCCTCAATACACATTTTAGGAAAGCCCATTTTTGCTTTAAGTGTGTGTGTTTGTTGTTCAGTAATATTTCAGCTTTCTGGTAGCGGGAGAATCCTTGAGAGGCTATAGTCAAACAATGTAAGGATCAAACAGCATATGAGTGGTGATAATGAGATGAAGGGTGAACTGCTGCTGTAACAATCTGACCTCACTGCTAAACTATCACCGAGTTTCGGGACATTTGTTCTTCCAGAGAATCCCCACATGGGTACAATGTGTGAAGCCCATTTCTGGTGTCCCACACCATGATATTGCTGGAATATTGTTAAAAGCGGCGTAAAACTAAAAGCCCACTAAAACCCCTTCAAAAGAAAGTCTGGATGGAGAGGAAATAGTACAGGCAATGACCACTTACTTGCTATCGGGGGTCCTAAGATGTATCCAATTCCCTGAAAGAAAAATGCGCACCCATAAGCCACTGGAACCTCCTCCACAGCTACCAAGTTAAGGACTATGGGACCAACCAGAGTATTCATACCTTGGCTGTAAGTCCCATAGAGACTCCCAAACACAAGCTGAGTAGTGTATGTGTGTGAATAAAGAGGGAATAACAGAAGCATCATTCCAGATATGCCAGTAAAGGCTATGTGGAGAGTGAGGTATGGGATTTTCGAATCGGAGGCCATTATTCCGGCGGCTAGTCTTGAGAATATGCTACCAACTCCCATTGCAGTGAAAAGCGTTGCAGCCTGATCTGGAGAGCTTCCTTTTTGTTGAGCATGATATGGAAGATGGAAAACAGCTGCTGCTTCACCATGTGCCCACAGCATGATGCTTACGTTGTATATAAGAAATCCAATATGTTTTAGAACTCTAAGAGACCTGAAGACTTTGCAAATATTCGATTGCAACAACCTGTCATGGTAACCTGTGTCAATGCTTTTGTCCTCTCGATGATCATTCCTAATTTCAGTTACACTTTGAGCCTGTTCCTTCCGGAGTGGTCTCAAGGTAACAGCAGCGACACACATGTGGAATTCTATTGCACCAAGGATAAGAAGCGCCCCACTTAGGTTGTACTGACGGAGAAGGTATCTCACAAGAGGTCCGGCAACAAAGAGACCCAGTCCTCCACCAGCAATGCACACACCAAACGCTGTTTCGTGCCTCTTTGAAAAGTACTTCCCTGTTACAACGCCAACCACATTGCAAGCCAGACAAACACCAAATCCTGTGAAATATTAAAGAAAAGACATTAGGATTTGTACTGGGAAACACAAAAGGCCCACAAAACAACCCACAGGATTGTTTCACTCTGTGGTGGTAAATCATTATGTTTTGTCTATTCCTGTAAGTTCATAAAGAAGACATTTGCATATTATTGTATATCAATTCTGAAAATACACATTGCAGTCCATTTGCACCGACCATTATCCTTAATGAACCATCTACAATGTTTGAGGGTACATACCTGATACAAGGCCATAGGTGAGCACCAGGCCAAGTGTCGATTTGCAGAACGAGGCAACAGTCATACCAGTTAAGGTTAAAGCGGCACCAACCATAGCCGCAACACGGGAACCAAATTTAGCCTGTATCAACCCAGCAACTGGACCTGTGAATTTGACAATAATCTCTAAAGATTGATGTGAGCGCCTATCTAGGAGTGTGTGCAAGGGATATATATCTAGGAGTGTGCAAGGGATATATATCCAACACATGATCAGATATTTACACCCTTTTAAAATATTAGAGTGAGTGAGGGATCGTAATGGAAACTTTCCTGGAAGTAAAACAACATGCAGGTCATTGACGTGTGTCGCTCTGGTAAAACCAAAAGGTATCCATTGCAAGTCCCAAAGACGACCACTTTCATTACGAGTTGCAGTTCCACCTACAACGCACCTCTAACCTGAAGAAACCCTAGAGACATGGCACGCTGTGATTGATAATAATCATGCTGAAGTCATGCTCTTGATCTCTGTTTATGAAAACATATCAACCGTTTTTACTTCGTATTTGCATATTGAAAAAGCCGATAGTTTTGTGTAAGGAGACGATGTGATATTCAAATCAGATGTTGTATACCTAGTAAAGTGCACGCTCCGAAGTTGGCTGAGCCTATCCATGAGGTCTTGGTCAGATCGTTTTCAATTTCCTCCAACACAGCGATGTTCATGACGCCAGGAGAATACACCAGTATCCCAGCCATAAACTGTAAGGTGAAGGCAGCTGCAAGGATCACCCAGGCGTAACCTCGGTCTATGTTTGATCTAGATACTTCCATCGTTCCTGCACCAAGGACAACCAAAGGATAAGTGGATTGTTTGTTAGTGAACGATGCTCCCAACAATATCACAGCTGAAAAAACGGCGGTGTGTAAATACTCGTGTCCAGGTCAGTTACACATCTTGAACATCACTCTACTTAACCGAGATACGTGGTGATATGCATAGAATTTGTCAGCAAGCCAGATCACCCAATCATGTCAGTCGCCTCTTAGCAGAAATATGGAGTGCTGAAGACCAGTTAAAAGTGGAAACTTCACGGGATAATTGTGTGTTGGCATGGTGATTAAACTGTTACATTGATACGCTATGCAAGCTAAATGCTGAATGTTTATTCCGAATATAGGATATGCAGTTGACCACGGTAGAAACAAGGTGTTCATTAGTGACAAACGAAAACAAATACTGCCATAGTTAAATGACTCGTGCACATCATTGTTAGGAACATCAATGGGTGCAATAGGGATGTGGTGACATGTATCAACCAAGTCAGCGAACCTGACCACCCTATCTTGTTAGTCGCCTCTTATGACAAGCATGAGTTACTAAAGATGATTTCACGCGGATCTGAAGTCCGATGGTGACCGCAGACAATATAATCGCCGTTGACACTTGTACTTAAACACTGGAAATCGATGTATTCAACTATTACTTAATTATAACATAACAATATACTTCAAATACGTTTTTTTTGAGTCGAAATGATAAATAGTTGGACATGCAAAAACATCAAGTAGTTACCCAAACAAACCGTAGTAGTTACTTTTCATTGAAGTATATTATCGTGTGTCAACATAGGATGGCTTTCAGTCGAATTCGTCGACATAACTTATATCCCCAAAAGGGAGTGAAAAAATAGACAGGAAATAGAATTGAATCTTGGGGTAATGACAGGTAATGGATTCCTGTGCCCCTGACAGTACAGGTATTTGGTTGCTCGACTGTGCATGGACGCGTCCTCTGAACTCCAGTCTAGACACTATGACGAGCCGACAGCAGAACAGTCTTGAATTCCGATTCTGTGTAACCAGAACACCAGCGTTGACACAGTTGTTGGGTTTGTTGGGTTTGTAAATGAGACGGGTGGTGAATGTTCGCACGAGGTCAAGGAATTCGGTTATAATCTGTCCACTTTCAGATTCTACAGTTATTCAAGGTAATTGCAAATATTCATGTTGATAGGTTCGCCATGTACTCGCTTTTGATAGTGATTGTTAAACTTTACTTGTGTATTTGGTAATAATTAACTGATTCTGGAGTTCATGATAAATCATATTTTTTATTGTCTGAATAAAGCAATAAAGTCTATAGTGGGACTGCAATGTAATGAATGTTAACGATTACCAGCTAAATATTACACCAAAGTTAGGGTCAGCTGAGTTAAGAGATTTCCTCTTTGTGCGTGTTCATATCTCGCTGTCGTCTTGTGACGTCATCTTCTTGTCATCAATTTTGAAATGTTGTGTTCGTAACGAGTATGTAACGTTATGTGGAAGTATACAAATACATTCATTATTTAGTGAGCCTTTTAGGGCAGAATCTTGTTTAACAAATTTTATCAATCTGTCAAATATATAGTTACGTCACACAGTACACAAGATGGTACACAGGGTGGTCGGAAATAGAGGAGCAAACACCACCTGTGCTCGGAAATGCGTGAACAAGAAATGCTGAATGGGTTACATGCACTGCTGTATGCTTTTAACACTCGTTATTGTACAAAGAAATATTGTAAATATTCGAGGTATACACATAAAGATATTTCATCTCAACAAAATCAAAACACCCCCTCCTTACACCCAACGGTCGGTCAGTGACTGAAATGGCGAAACCCATGTGCGTACATTAACATCAGATTCCACATGTAATGTAAGTCGTGTACACCCAGCAAGACATGAAGCATCCAGTGCAGTGCACATTACTTGTCGTACAATAGCGATCATTGAATAATTTGGCTAGTGGTGAGCATAACATAATATACATGTGGACTACCATATGTGTAGGTTTCTTCTTCTGACATAGCAAGTCATGTATAAACACACTGGATTTGAAGGGTCTTACCTCTCACGTCATATCCAAGTCAGCGACAGGCCAGTAAGGTAACAATAGCTTTGCATCAATTGCTGCAGGTTGGTTAAGTGTGTCAGAGCGATCGGTGACTGTATACATTATGTACATGTGTAATAGTACCTAAATGTTCTTGACAGGTGGTAGCTGACTGTTATTAGGACACACGCACAAAAAGCCGCATTGTATACATTTATGTATAGCACACAGAAGGAATGAACAATATGTAATTGCCGCATTTCGTGTGATTCAATATTGTGAACTATATTTCGTCTTTCATTTCATGTGAAACTAAAACATTGAAACATCGAATTATTGCTAGCTACACGGGCATGTTCTTCTGACCGGATTGTCGGAAAACGAAGTTATTAATTGATACCCCTGTAAATATGCCCTTCCCAAAAAGAAACTTATCAACAATAAATGATGCTATTGGATTATTTTATTGTCACAGATTCAGGTACGTTCTGAAGTCAATCAAGTAGTAACTGAGCGGAAGTGATTCAGACATGTTAGAAAACACGTCCGATTCGCATAAATGTACCCGTTGTTGACGTTTGTACTGAACCGCGAAAGCACCAGCCTCAGAGGGCATCATGATGTTCTGCAACAGCTTGTGGCGAACCCCCCACTGGTTACCGCATCTGCAGTCTTTCAAACGGATCACATGCGTAATATTTCAGATATCGTGGATATGTATTTGAATAGGTTTGTATGCTGGTACCGCTTGTAACAAACCATGTACAGTTGTGGGCCTATTTTGTGTATTTTCACATATGCTGTTTGTTGTCAGTGCTGATGTGAATTCATTACGTTTATAGTCTGGCTAGGCAAAATGAATTTGTGGCAGGATATACCTCGTGTGAAAGTGGTTATGGGATCATGGGTCTTTTTTCAGTCAGTCACACACCTTGTACATCATTTGAAATGTTTTATAGTCAACGTTTTGTTCAGGTATAGGGCACTCACACATAAGTTATAGTTAAGCTATATTCCATGCCTACCTTGACATATTCCCTGCTTACCTTGGCACATTCCATGCTTACCTTGACATATTCCATGCCTACCTTGACATATTCCATGCTTACCTTGACACATTCCATGCTTACCTTGACACATTCCATGCCTGCCTTGACATATTCCATGCCTACCTTGACATATTTCATGCTTACCTTGACACATTCCATGCTTTCCTTGAAATGCTTACCTTGACATATTCCATGCCTACCTTGACATATTTCATGCTTACCTTGACACATTCCATGCTTACCTTGACATATTCCATGCTTACCTTGACATATTCCATGCCTACCTTGACACATTCCATGCTTACCTTGACACATTCCATGCTTACCTTGACATATTCCATGCTTACCTTGACATATTCCATGCTTACCTTGACACATTCCATGCTTAACTTGACATGCTTACCTTGACTGACTGACTGACTGACTGAGTTTTAGTTTTACGCCGCTTTTAGCAATATTCCAGCAATATCACGGCGGGGGACACCAGAAATGGGCTTGACATATTCCATGCTTCGAACCATGGGTCTTTGACGAGCCAACGCTTTAACCAATAGGCTACCCCACCGCCCCGCTTACCTTGACATATTCCATGCAGTCACCTTACAGCACCTGTCATACACCACACACGCATGTTGATCATCTGACAGTGAAACCATTAACAACATTTACTATGGGATTTTGTATGAGTCATGAGTAATGAGTCAACTGTACAAACGTAACAGTACGGGCGTTTATCGCCATTACACCTTCACTGTCATGCCACCAGTTTCCGTATTTTGTTCTGTAGTGTACTCAATATTGATTACACCAGCGAGGTATCCTTCAAACAATGGTTTTTACTTCAATCTGTCGCGGCTCGGGGAGTTCATGCCACTTTCGTCACTCTGGATGATGATACATGTGCCCACATATGTAAGGGACTCAATGTGGTTTTCACTGACACGAGACATCCTCCTTTTCACCATCAAATGGCTGGACATCCATCTTCTGCGTTTTCCTTCTTCTTCTTACGACGCTAACAGCTGCCGCTGACATTGAACTTAATACTAAGGAAGATCCTGATAAGATAAAATAATGATAGTTATGATATATGCCCAAGCTAGCTACCAAGAAAGCATTTTTATGTATTCCATGAAATGTAGTATCCTACATTAATAGGTAAACGTACAATTAAACTCTCATCTTATTTTCTCTGTATAATACATTCACAGATAACAACATGATACCTTACCTGCAAAAACGTACGTGAAATGGTACACACCACTTAACCTATAAATCCAACCTGAAAATAAAAGTATTTATTTCTGCATGAGTATCGTTGTGATGGACTATCAAAACAAACACACAACTGCATATCAGAATAATATATTAACATTTAGACCATGTTTACTTTGACGTTTCCATTAAAGAAAAGACTACACTGCAGACTCCATTTCCAACATTATAGGGATCTGAATAGGTGCAGAAATCAAGTTTCCAAAGTTGCTATTGTGACAACCCGATCCCAGTTAACACGCGACAGCGGATTACAGAACATGTGGGTTACAGAACATATATTGTTCAGTTGAAATAGTGCATGACAAACACGTGTCAGATCTCAATTGTATATTCCACTTACTTGCTACTGGAGGTCCTAAGATATATCCAATTCCCTGGAAGAAAAATGCAAACCCATAAGCCACTGGAACCTCCTTTAGAGATACTAAGTCAAGGACTATGGGACCAATCAGAGTATTAATTCCTTGGCTGTATGTCCCGTACAAGATCCCAAACACCAGCTGTGTGCTGTATGTGTTAGAATAAAGAGGGAAGAATAGCACTATCATCCCAGATATTCCTAACAGGCCAACTTGGATGATAATGTGTGGTATCTTCGAATCTGAAGTTATCAATCCGGCAGATATTCTGGAAATAACACTGCCAAACCCCATTGCAGTAAACACAGTTGCGGCTTGATCCGACGAGCTTCCTTTGAGCTGAGTGTAGTAGGGAAGATGAAAGACGGCAGCAGATTCAGCAAGAGTCCACAGCGTCAGACTGATGTTATACATAAGAAATGACACTTGTTTAAAGATTCTGAAAGCAATAAAAACACTGCCTATACGTGCTTTAATTCCTTTCTTTTCTGGATGGTAAAGTGGTGGAGAAAGAGAAACCTTGTCATGGCTTGAGGATATTGAACCATGACGTCGTTGATCAGTAAGTTCGAACTCATTTGTGTCATCAACTTCTATTTTCTTTATTAATAAGGGTTCAGCATTAGTGGCTTGTTGATGCACCGAGGAATCACTTTCATCTGGGATTTCATTAGCTGCTGGCTCTTTTGGAGTCACAGTCATACTTTGTGAATGTCCATGGCGTACTGGCCTGAAGGTAACACCGGCAACACACATGTGAAATTCTACAGCACCAAGAAGAAGCAAGGTCCCACTTAGATTGTAGTTTCTAAGAAGATATCTCACAAGCGGGCCGGAAACAAAAAGACCCATTCCTCCACCAGCACTGCAAACACCATATGCAATCTCTCTCCTCTTTAAGAAGTAGTTCCCAGCAACAACGCCAACTACATTGCAAGCAAGACACAAACCAAACCCTGTCAATAAAGAAATAAAGTTCAGGTCATATTATTTCAATGTGCAAATTCAACAACGTAAAATATTATTATCTTAACGAAGGTAATGTATAAAACCTAAGATATATTTTCAGGATTATTGTCTCAGTTAAGACCATGTGCAACTCCCTGCATCATACCTTGTTTTGAGTAAAGCCTGAAAGCTGGGTGTCATCTATCCATGACATTACGTCTGTTAAAACGCTTCGACGAAGACAAAATACTATGGTTATTGTTGGACTCATTTGCGGTCCATAAATTATATGCCACGTCTTAAATAGATGACGGAAGGGTCAATTTGAAGGGAAGTCGGTCCTACGTTATATAAAGAGTCTGATGTGTTATTGAATTTGTATTTTGACCACGATTAGACAAGTGTAGCGAATTGGTTTTGATCACAGCATGAACGGAACTTTCTACAGTAAGTTCTTGTTCTTGCTTGATTGATACAGGTGCAATTGTCCACAAACCTGAAATAAAGCCGTAGGTGAGCACCAGTCCCACTATAGATCTGCAAAAGGAGGCACTCGTCATTCCCAGAAAGGTGAAGGTGGCACCCATCAAAGCTGTGCCACGTGAACCAACTTTATCCTGGATTAACCCAGCAACTGGACCTGTGAATGTGGCAGTAAGAATCTCACGTCAGGTACATCTGTTCGTGACAGTGAGTGAGCTCTGTCAAAGTGTGCAAGCTAGGGCACGACACTAAAACATTGGCTATGAAGATTGTGAAACACACGTTCCCCATCCAGGTTGTGTTTGAAAGTATAAAGAATTAGAAATTCAAGGGCCTAGTACTGGCTCATAAGGGCCAGTGGGTGGGTGGGTCGTTAAAGTTTCGTTTGCTAGTCTGGAGACCCGGGTTCGATTCCAAACATAGCTGCAATATGTAAATTTCTGGTGTCCCTAGCTATGGTATTGCTAAATATTGCGATAAGCGACGTTACACCGTGCGTATTCACTCATACATTTACACAACAGTATTCGTCTTGCATTTACGAAGTAATATTTGGTTTAGATGGCCGAAATTAAGTACATAACACTATTAAATGCAAGTATAAGCTGTGAAATACTGAAAGTAGTGGTGAGTGAGTGAGTTAAAACTTAACGTCACATCGGCAATATTGCAGCCATATCGTGACGAGAACAGTTTATAGCAATATTCAAATCAATAAATGTACAACAAAAAAATCTGTCATCGAAGGAGAGTAAAACTACTAGAATATCACAGCTCTTAATTTACAACTAGTACGCTATCATAAAAATATATCACGAGACACAATAGTACAATATAAGAACGGGCTATAGATCACCAGCAACTGAAGGTTGATCACCATACTAAAGACCATGGGGTCTTACAGTACCTTTGCTACCTACATGGACCCTATTTGGATTTACATCATCCCTTCAGCAGCCAGCGATTGTAGTCAAATTTAGCCAGAATTAAAATCACAAACATTCTACGCTTAAAATCCTGGTAAGTTTGAAATTTACTTTGTGAGTTTTGGGGCTTATGTACCCTCTCAGGAGGACAATACTGAAAGTAATTATTTGCATAAACCCTGTAATATCTGTGACGTTTATGCTAAACCGGGCGCTTTCAGGTGACTAATAGAAGCAACACTAATCATTTCATGCCTCATATTACAGGTGAAACGTAGTTTTTGTTTCCACATTGTCAAGCTTTCATTGTAAATTGAAAATTGTAAATCATTATGTAATATGATGTTTAGCTGTATTTAGGGGAGAAGGGACCATAAGTGGCTACAGTGTTGATTACGGGATACCTACAATACGCTGGACAGTGAGAAAGGTTTGCGTCACATACATTTGCAGATATTACTTAATTGCTATTTATGTACAGTTTGAACTATGAACAACAGGCTGGACACAGACAAGTATATATGTTTATTCAGCAAATCGTTTAGGTTAGGGTCACTGTATAAGATAGTGTTTCTCCTCCAAATTTATCAATATCTGAGAATAGTGACTTCCTGAGGTCATCATATAGAGTGCATTAAAAAAATGCAATGAACTTTTGCATGGCGCGCGACATTCGCATTTAATAACATCAAATAGGTTAACCCGAAACAGGTCGAAATTTAGTGTGCTGCAACTGTGTCTTAATCTAGTGTGCAATATGTTTGAGTATCTCTTACCGCAGTTATAATACATCGGTAGCGATGCAGACTGCTCCGATACGACACTTTTAAAAGAAGATATTGAAGGAATATTCCTTACTTATGACGGCAGACTTTTCTATCGGTCTGATGTATCTATAACATAGGCTCGTTTAAACGTAGATGCAAATGGTACAAGAAAGTTATGACTATGCCTGAGATTATATTTGGTGTTTTCTGACACAGATGGTGGTATAAGATCAGTAACATATGATGGACATTTATTAGTTATTATTTTATACATATGTTCAAGTTTGTTGTACTATACTACCCAACAAAAGTTTAGACTCTCTTAAAGCTATATGTTATGTATATGTAGGTGGTTACATCGAAGATGAAATTCTCCACTAACTTGGGGGAACCAACTGCAAACCTTATGCAGATGAATTGTATGAGGATCATGCATCAAAGTGCTGAAAAGCGTGTGAAAATATCGTGCATGTGAACAGCTGCTTTTTTTGGTGTAAAGTGTTGTGAAGATTTCGCCAATTTTCACTGAGTTTCACCATTTATTGAACTCATGACAATAATCTTTTCAACGTTACGAAGTTGTTTTACAATACATCAGTTTATGTGTAAACAGTACCTTTAAACAGTATGGAATGTTTTGCAAAATCTAGGTTAGAACAGTTGACTGGAGTAAGTAGCTACATTTACACTAGTTTGTCTAAACTTTTGATGGGTAGTATATTATAAAGTCATCCCAACATAAGAACATGTTAAGAGAAGAATGTTCTGCTGTACTTCGTTAAACAATTTGCAGTGTGTAAACTTAATGTCCTTCTTTTCACGTATGACATAAGTATTATCAATGAAAAACCATACAGAGTTCATATTGACTCTGTTGTTGAAGTAAAGAATTAAAGGTGTCTCCATAAACATTTAACAAATGCCTTAATATCAATCAAAAGTACATTTAATTTGTGACCTATATCAGCATAAAATGTGCAATATTTAACACCTTACTTGATTATTTGTTTCTTAATTTATAATGTATTCATGATGCATTTATCACAATACTAGATTATTATGTTTCTTTATTTAGAATGTATTTATAATATAATTTAACACATTACATGAATATTCGTTTCGTCTCTTTGTTATGAATTTATAATGTTTTCAAGTATGACTTGATATTCAACTGCAAAGAAAACCCCCAAATTCTTTTGTCCCGATAGAAGAAAAAAGAATCAGATGGACATTTATTTATCTATAAACATGATTGATGCGGGTGAAGATATCATGCAGATGAAGTTTACTTACCTAGTAACGTACAGGTCCCAAAGTTTATGGAGCCTACCCAGGAGGTCTTCGTCAGATCGTTTTCAATTTCATCCAACATGGCGATGTTCATGACGCCTGGAGAGTATGCCAGAAGCCCTACCAGGAACTGAAGGCAGAAAGCAGCCACGAGGACCACCCAGGCGTAGCCTCGGTCTATGTTAGCTACTTCCATTCTGGTGTTCATCTGCATCAAAGACACACATACGATAACATATTACATTTGGAAATATAACGATGTGGTCATTGGTCTGGAATCTGAAGTGCAGCATATTCACCCTGCACTGGAAGATATTTTCTCAATTTATATTCAGCATACTTTTTATCTTGCAATTGAGGATTATTTAATTTCCAGAATCTACTTCATTTGCCAGCGGAATCGGGTGGTCAGGCGCGCTGACATGGTTGACAAATGTAATCGTACCCCGATTGTGCAGATCGATGCTCATGCTGTTGGTCACTGGATTGTCTGGTCGAGACTCGATTATTTACAGACCGCCGCCATATAGCTGGAATATTGCTCAGATGGGCGTTACACAAAAACAACCACCCTATCTTCTGCCAGACCTTTCTCTATTAAAACTGTTAAGAGAGTGATATGTTCTGTTCCCTGGGTTAAAGTAAACATTTCATATATACACAAAGTAAAAGGTATCGCAGCACATATGACTTTTATTTGTTTGTTTTTTGTATTCTGCGGACTGAAGTGTTCGTTATGTTTGGGTTTACAGTATTTCATGAGGGTCCAATTATCCAGAAAGTAAGTTAAATTGTGGTTAGCAGAAGTTATTTTGTATGGTAATGATAACATGTAGATATTATGGGGTGTTGCGATATGCTTTCCATGTGTATATATGAAGGTTCGTTTCAGACAAAACGAAGAGTGTTGCCTCAATTCTGTACTTTCACCACACAAGTTCAGTTCACCTGTTACTGTAGGTCTGGGTGAATTGATCGTTTCTGTTCTTTAAGCACCGCGCCTTGCTTGTAGCCTGCGTTCGGGATTTCTTGTCTATCGGTTATTGTATTCAGTGAGAGAGAGGAATAAACTGCCCGTATTACAAATAGAAAGAGAGAGGAATAAACAGCCCGTATTACACAGAGAGAGAGGAATAAACAGCCCGTATTACACAGAGAGAGAGAGACAGGGAGGAATAAACAGCCCGTATTACAGACAGAGAAAGAGAGAGAGAGAGAGAGAGAGAGAGAGAGAGAGAGAGAGAGAGAGACATGTATGAAAATTAATTTTCCCCTTAAAATGAGATGTTCATGCAAATTCTTTCCATTTGTGTTATGGTTTGTACAGCTTTCACAACCTTCATTAATGTTTTGTATTTGTATCAATGAATATATCTAACAAAATAGCGGGGATACATTGCTATATGTGTAATGAATGGAGTCTCAATATAGCAGTCTCTACTTCGGTAAATATCAGGGATTGTAATGGAGCTTCCTATCTATACGGCACGCTCAGGTGTTCTAATCTCATAGAAGAATGAAGGCGATGAAAAATCTTTACATTTTCCCCTTGTCGATTCTTGATTTCGTTCGTACTTGTCTCTCTTCTCCTGTCTCGTCAAGCACACTTCAAATACACTTTGCCTTTCTCGTGTTTCTTTTGTGACACGTTTTCAGTATTCTGCCATGATCACATCACTGCTTTGGTACTAAAATACCTTTCAAATTCCACCGCCACTCTCTTTTGTACTGCCACAGTGGACCTTCTTGTTATTTGTGAGCTTAGTCAATGTGGTGTCACGATTTGTGACTTTTCACGTTATAATTTATTTCACGTTCAGAAATGTAAGTTCTACTTTTCTCATTAACGGCAGGCCACGGAATATTTTACGAACGCTTCGCTCTGTCTACAAACTTAGCCTATTTGTACTGCAGGCAAGTTGAGGCAAAACGATTTGCCTTCCCCTTATGCTTTTTCCTAGCCAAGCACACGGCGCTATATTTTGTACATCATTTCTCCTGCGTGTAAACGCACAATGTTTTTTTCCACCGCCTTGAGATATATTACTAGCATCGAAGGATGCCTATAATGATGGATAAAGATCTTATTCTACTACAAGCGTCTTTGTGTAGTCATTACATTTACAGAATACAATTTTAATTAACCACATTTCTTTGTTGGTTTCACACCTACTTCTTTTCCAGGCGGATTCCCGGCATGTTTTTAGTATCAACCTGGGAATCAACAGGTAAACGTAACTGAGGCTCGTCCGGGAGTGAAATATAATACATCACGAAATTATTTGACAAAAGTATCGGATTACAGTTATATTGTCTAAAACCAACGATCACTATGGTGTTTAGTGCATAAAGGTTTGTTTGAAAGCCTTCTACCGAACAGGTCTCTATACTAAAGAATCCAAAGTGGTTGAATTGGCCAAATATTACTAACTTGACCTGCGTTCTTTAACGGACTAATTCACGGTTAACGTTTCAGATTCAATATAGGAGTGAGTGAGTGAATTTAGTTTTACGCGGCATTTTAGCAATATTCCAGCAATATCACAGCGGAGGACACCAGAAATGGGTTTTCACACATTATACCCATGTGGCGAATTGAACCCGGGTCTTCGACGTTACGAGCGAACACTTTAACCACGAGGCTACCCCATAGCCCTGATTCAATTTAGAAGTGAGTGAGTGAATTTATTTTTCCGCGGCATTTTAGCAATATTCCAGCATATCTCCAGAAATGGGTTTTCACACATTGTACCCATGTGGCGAACAGAACCCGGGTCTTCGACGTGACGAGCGAACGCTTAAACCACTAGGCTATCCCACCGCCCTGATTCAGTTTAGGAATCGACACGTAACAATATGAATATATAGATTATATGAATTACTGAACACGCAAATAACATGTTTCTTAAATATGAATTACACATACAATTTGAATGCCTACAATGTTTCAATTCGATTCCATTCAGTGGAAATAGAGAATTTAGATCAGTAAGCATGCACCATATAACTTCTTTGAGTGGCATTTTAGAAGTTGGGAAGTACAATATAGAACAAACTTTATGGATAACAACTTTTTTTTTATTCGTGAGTGCGACGTTTCGATACAGATTCTTGTACCGTTGTCAAGCATAATGGGACATGAAGAGGGGGGAAGTGTATATATACTGGATGTGACAATGTGACAAACAAAACAACATAATTAACATAATTAGCTAGGCAGAAGGCTGATGAAGCCAGAGAGTAGACAAAGTACAGGCGTAGAAGCCAATGATGTACAAATGATAATGACATGTTTATACAGCAGTGAGTTTATACAGTGGATTGGGCTTGGTGGATGAGTGCATCATAAGCGGATGGAATGAAGTATCCTTGGTCTCGGTTGATGGTGGGCTTTTGGCGTTTGATGTGGATGGCTTCGGTGAGCTTGCGTTTAGTGAAGTCTGTTTGTTTGTTAGAGAGAATGGTGATGTCAGACCACTCTATTTGATGATTGGGGCTTGCTTTGATGTGGTCGGAAATGGCTGATTTGCTGTCGGAATTGGTAACAGAGGTCTGATGTTCTTTCACTCGGGTGTTGATGGGTCGGGAAGTTTCGCCTATGTAGCTCTGCCCACAATCACAGTTTATTTTGTAGATGACACATTTTGGGTTGTTGTTCTTTATGGTGGTGGGTTTTCTTCCATTGGCATGGAGAATGTTGTTAAGGTTGGAGGACGCGGAGAAGGTGGTATCTATGCCAGCTTGATCTTCAGGAGGCGGCTGATTTGATGTGACGGTTTGCCAATGTAGGGATGGATATCTTGATGGGGCTAAATCTTGTTTGGGTCTTTGGTAGGGGTGACAGGGTGGCAGCGATGGTTCTGTTGACTATTTGGGATGGAAAGTGGTTGCGTTCTACGAAGACTTTCTTGAGGTGTTCGATTTCATCTTGTAGTTTAGTTGAGCAGATGTTCTTGGCCCTTCTGGTTAGTGTGGAGATGATGCCGGTCTTAACTTTAGGTGGATGATTGGAGTTGTAGTGGATATACTGATCCGTATGGGTGGGTTTTCTGTATACAGTGGTCTGGAGTTGGTTGCTGGAGGTGCGGGACACAAGGACGTCAAGGAAAGGTAGTTGCTGGTTCTGCTCGGTTTCCATGGTGAACTTGATGCGGGATGTTGGTTGTTGAGATGGGTGAGAAGCTGAATGGGATCTTGTTGAGGTTGGAGGATGACGAAGGTGTCATCCACTTTGCGATACCAACATGTGGGTTTGAAGGGTGCAGTATCCAGTGCTTTATCTTCCAGGTCCGTCATGTAAATTTCGGTTAGGATGGGGATAAGGGGAGCCCATGGGAAGTCCATGAATTTGTTCATAGATCTCGTCCCCCCAGGTGAAGTAAGTGGAGTTGATGCAGGTTGAGGTGAGACTGATGATGGAGTCGGTTGAGAGGCTGGTGTTGAGGGGTTGTTGAAGTTTATCAATTCTGTGGCGTAAGGCTTGGAGCGCTTCTTCTCTTGGTACATTAGTAAATAGGTCCACAACATCGTAGCTGATGATAGGACCTGGATTGGAGATATCACGGATCTTGCTGCAGAAGTCTGTTGAGTCGTTGATGAAGGAGTTGGCAGATTTACCTAAAGGAGCGAGTACTTTGGTAAGGTGCTGGGCAGTATTGTAAAACACTGTATCACGGGAGCAGACTAGTAGACGGGTTTTCACAGGATTCTTATGGATCTTGACAGTTGCTCGGGCATAGGGTGGTTGAGGATGGGATACTGATAGCTTGCGATAGAGATCTGTAGAGAGTTCAAATTTATCATGCAGTAGTTTTAGGGTGGACTTGTGCTGACGATTCAACTTAGTAGTAGGATCCTTATTGATCTTCTTGTACGTGGCGGTGTCATCTAGCAGGTTGTCTACCATGGTGTTGAAATGGTCTTTGTCTAGAACAACGGTGGCCTTACCCTTGTCAGCTGGGGCGATGACGATGTCCGGATCTTGTTTCAATTGTTTGATGGCTTGTTTCTCTGATGGGGTGATATTTGATGCGGGGATGTTGGTTGTTGAGATGAGTGAGAAGCTGAGTGGGATCTTGCTGAGGTTGGAGGATGACGAAGGTGTCATCCACTTTGCGATACCAACATGTGGGTTTGAAGGGTGCAGTATCCAGTGCTTTATCTTCCAGGTCCATCATGTAAATTTCGGTTAGGATGGGGGATAAGGGGGAGCCCATGGGAAGTCCATGAATTTGTTCATAGATCTCGTCCCCCCAGGTGAAGTAAGTGGAGTTGATGCAAGCTCACCGAAGCCATCCACATCAAACGCCAAAAGCCCACCATCAACCGAGACCAAGGATACTTCATTCCATCCGCTTATGATGCACTCATCCACCAAGCCCAATCCACTGTATAAACTCACTGCTGTATAAACATGTCATTATCATTTGTACATCATTGGCTTCTACGCCTGTACTTTGTCTACTCTCTGGCTTCACCAGCCTTCTGCCTAGCCAGTTATGTTAATTATGTTGTTTTGTTTGTCACATTGTCAGATCCAGTATATATACACTTCCCCCCTCTTCATGTCCCATTATGCTTGACAACGGTACAAGAATCTGTATCGAAACGTCGCACTCACGAATAAAAAAGAAGTTGTTATCCATAAAGTTTGTTCTATAATGCACCATATAGTGATTGCTTATTACAAGCACGGGGGTAGGGGCAAAAATTGTATTTGACCATGACTACCTGAAATACTCGATTTTGATTGGACAATCAATAAAATTAGACACTATCAATTTGAATTGAAAATGTGTCTGATTTTATATCCGCTTCACAGCGCACGTATACAACAATGCCGCACTACCATTCGTGCCCGACTCGTGTTATTCCGGGACAAACCGAATAGCGGTTACGGAAAGGGGCGAGTGGTGACGAATGCCGCACTACATCAGCTTGACCACCAACATGGCTGATATCAACACAACAGACATTGATAAAAAATCGAAAAATACAATTATATGATTTTTTCCTCCACAATTATTAGGGAACCCTTACCATCATATTGCCTTCTGTTATAAGAATATTCAAATTCAGTTACAATGTTTTGGCCCAACCATAAACAAAGAACATTTATCTTATCAGCAAGCCTTGTAACAACACATCCGTCCATGTATTAATACAAAATTTACAGCGGATAGTCTGGGTAAAATTAACAGCAAAACGTTCGTAAGATTTGCCTACCTGGTAAACGTCATGTTTGTTTCCGTCCAGAGTAGTTATATAATTTACAAAAGATGAGATATCCAGAACGTTTGAAGCACTTCCTACAAATCTGGCGTCACATCTTCAACAATCTTATGCGGAACGTTGCAAGAGAAGGGTGGGGCGTAACCCCGAATTTATGCAGCTCATATTCCCTCATGCCCCGTTACATCATTCAAAAGTACAAAATTCCTGCTTTCTACCAGCCTCCCTACAAGAATGTCACTACAGGTCGTCCATGTTGGAACATTTTAAAACCGCTTGGCCACAGTGCTCTGTCCCAAACGATTAAAAACCAAAGTCCATGTAATCCCATGCTAGTCGCATTTACACAAATCATTGTGTTAAGGCCACCACTGTCTCTCTCCTATCGTACCGTTGGAAGTAGGACAACACAGGGGATGTAGTTCTCTGCCGTGTATTGGGTCAAACCGAACTGCCGAACGTCGTTCCGACCTCGCTAGATATCACAGGCCGGTGACCCTGTCGGGTTATCTCCAGCCAGCTCGGCTTCCCCGGCAATAGACTTGCTCAAGTTTATAAGGTAGTAATTCATAGTTAAAAAGATAATTTCTCAAAAATATAACTATTCTTCTAACAGACCGGCGTCCTTAGATATATTGTCCGTTTATCTAGACCTGCCTCTCTGAAGGATTAAATTACTACACATTCATAGGCTCAGTATTCAGTACAGCTTTGGAGCAAGGCTACCCCGGCAAGTACATACATTAATATATTATGTCTATTCTACACATGCACTAAGTTCTTAATTTTACGTTGCTTGTTTTGCAACAACATGCAGTATCTATCTTTCATTTACAACATACATAAAACACACTTACATCCATGTGAAAAAAAAATAAAATAATATTATCTATAACATTATAGTCACTACGACATTTGCCCCTAGGAAAAAAATTGCGACAGGTGTCTGTCAGCCTGCAGTACCCTGCACCTCATCCACAATGTCTTGCTTCAGTGGTCAACCGGCCATTGTCTAACTGTGATTATAGGGAGCTAATCTGCAAATCACTCTGTGTTGGTAGCCATGATGACAATGGTCAAGCTGCGTTGATTGAATTTCTATTGACAGCAAGGTCAATATTTAGAGAAATATTACCTGAGATATTTCGATAACGAACGACCTGCCATGTGTTTGTTAGCTTAAGAAAAACTGAAAACGGATTCCATGATTCGCTTGAATCATGTCTAAAATTTAATAATGCCGAGGTAAATTTAGAACTTCATTACAAAAGAATACCCTGTCTTTATCCTCAGAAACAAATTGGTGTGAAGGGCAAAATACTGTGAACATTAAATGGATGGAGTACTGAAAATCAGTGATGACACCAGGTGTTGGCGAAACGGGGAAACATGTCCTGTCCTATCGATAGCAACCAAAATTCACAAAATTTGCCTCAAAGTGGATGTATGTTTTGCCTGACGCTGCACGGCAGTGCTTTAAACATATTTATTTCCAAACGTGGAACTGGACTGGTAAACAAACAATTATGAGGAGAACAGCATGCTATTAACAAACAAACAATAGCTTTCTGGAAATATAACAGTCAATAACTGTAAATATAGCTGCCTATAACATTAGAACACTAATTATTAGTGTCGGAAAGTAATAGTTTGTGGAATTTCGTTTTTACTACTTACAACACAAATTTGGCTCACAATACAATGAAAGAATGGATAGCTTCTAATAATTCAAGATTATCTTTAATAGATCCATTATAGTGGCCGTATAGTATTGCTTTGATGTCATATCCTTTAGCATAGAAGTGCATTGTATTTCTTATGTCAGTGTAATTAACGCACGGAAAGAATTACAGTGGAAGTTGTATAATCCGACCTCTGAATTATCCGACAACCTGTGAATTCCGACATATCTTTTGGGTGCCAGCAGCGTTCTTCTAAATTATCATCATTTGAACATTGAATTATCCGACATGTGTACATTCCGAATTCCGACACCATTTTCTGGCCCCAATCAAACTATCACGCTGTACAATCCGACATCCTCTTCCCATATTGGACTAAAATAGCCAGTCATCCTGTCAACCTGTAGTGAGTTGGATCTTCGTAACAATAGCCACAAGAACAAGAGGGATTTGAAGACATAAATCGTTCACTGAGTGGACTGCCTGTACAATAGAAATACACGCGTTTATCAAAAGTAAATGTGCACATTATGTTATCCACATATACAGTCTATGTTTGAAGCAAAATGGGTTTCCAACTCACCCTTGAACGAAGTTGTCTTTTTAGTGACTATTTTACTTTTCCCCTCCGAAACAACAGCTTGCATAAAGTTTCTTTCAGTATGAAAATGGCTTACCTTTTACATCATATATTCTGAATTCAGATAAAAACGGAACCGGCAATATTAGTGTTCAGACGGTGAATATAAACGTGTAATGAAATACCTTCAGACTGAAAATCGTTGAATATCTTTCTGTTCACCTTGTTTATAAAACAAGCTACACAAATGTATATGACGGATGTGGTTTAATTGAATTTGCTAATTAAACATGTCTAGGTGAATAACGTTTTTGCAAGATGGTATAATGGAACTGTTTGCTGTATGGGCGTACAGTGAGTATGTGTATGAACACTCGAGACAAATACTTAACGCCGCCATATTGATGCAATGTGTTTTAAAACAGCAACACCTTCATATCCCCATACATACCACTACAAAATATAACTCAGGGTCCCGATCCACAAAACGTTCGTAGCGCTACGACATTCGTAAGCCTATGATAAACTATAGAATTATGACAGGTCTTAACGCTACGAACGCTTTGTGGGACCCGGATCAGTAAGCCAACACGTGCACGAGTCACCCTTAGTGCTTTGTGTATGACTTCAACAATGCAACGCACAAACAATAAAGTGCGTTAGAAAGCAATACACGCACGGCGGTGCGCTTATGTAAATTGGCAAAATACACTTTTTTCTACCATGAAAGAATTATCTTGAATATGCAGCTGACTCGCCGAGGGAGCGTTTATCTCTGATCGTGAGGGACTCTCTAATTCTTTCTACTGGAACTAGTACAACTATATTGTCCCTTTGTCATACACAAAATACGTACACTGGGTGACGACCCACAGCCTTTTTAAAGGGCGAATGTCTGAATGGTGATAGTTATATCATTTTGTCCTTCGTTCAGCTCAGCTCTATTGTGTTTTCAGATTCACAAGTAAAGGTATAACCTGACATTGATGTGTGACAGGAATGCATATACATGCATATTTGAAATCAGCCGAACTCTGACATTTGAGTCTATCGTTTTACACATACAATAGGTAGAACATACATATATCTCATAGACGGGAAAAGTCAAAAGACATGTTGACATTCAGTCATAGAATGGAGATAATATATCTGCTGCTGGTTGAGAAACAGCCACAAGTATTGACAAAATACGTTTGCAAATGCAACGAACATTTGCCCTTCGTATGCCTGAAAGCAAGACCTAATATGTCTACATAGGACATGTGCTTTCTGTCATCAAAACATTGACATCAACAAGAAGCCCTTACCTCGGTCAAGCCATCTCTACTTACGTGAACATCAAACAGCGTAATGCTACATATAACGCCAGACTGGACAACACAGCCAGCTGTCTGAAACTAGGTCACATCGACTGAAGCGATACGTGAGTAGGGATTTATGAATACAATTGACAGTGTCTTTATTGACCTGGTTTACTTGACATCCAAGTGAATGTGCTCTGGTTACAATTTACACATCTCATCGTTACCGTGCTGAATTTACTTCATCATCTTGTTGATCGTATTTTCACCAACTGATGCAGCAACTGCGGTCATCATTTCATATTCCTCACAGAGCCTGTCAGATAAGGTTTTAAAAGCTCAGTGGGTGTTGCACGTCTAAATAGTATTTTTGTTACTACAGGGTACATATGAAGTGTGACGTTAACTGCTTTAAAATCACATTGGCAATATTTCAGTCATATTTTACTAAAACTAGTTCTAAATTCATATATATATATATACTATATAAAAGTTTACTGTCAACGAAGGACAGTAACATGCCTAGATTATCAAAATGAGTTCAAAACCAACTTATATATCTTTATAAGTAGAAAACTATCTTTGGACATACAATAAAAATCATATATCGCCAGCAACTGAAGGATGATAACCATGCTAAATACATACAGAGATGATTTCAAACTGACAAACAACGAGCAAACTTCATAGCAATGTCATATTCTTTTTCATTACGTCGCCATACTATCAGTCGTTAAAGTTACAAAACCAAAATATTCAAACGTACGCAACACAATTTTCACTTATTCATGCATATAATATACATTTGAAATGAAAATTATAAGCGTACAATCGTACAAATCAAAAGTGCAGTATTTTGTACTTGGGTTTACTTCCCTCGAAGCAAAGCAACCGGGATACCAGACCCAGTCAGAGCAGAGCGGTGTGCACTCAAGTGACTTTCATTGGCTGGTTCATTTGTCGATGCCCCTCACGGCTCATTGTGTGTGTGTATATAGAGATGTTGGATTTTGTAAATACATGCTCATTTTTGTGTATAACATTTTGCAATCAACAGACATCATAACATGTCATGTGTACAAGTATCACACCTGCTTGTCTGTGTAATTACATAATGTGACAGAGACCGAACTCGGGCCATAAATCAATGCATTTTGTTTATGGTGTATAGCCTGATAGGTGTTATTTCAAATTGCATGTGGTCAGTGATTGAAATTGTGTTTTGAATATTGTCATTAGCAGACGGGCAGGCAGACACATAGGTGTCAATAAAACAGACATTGAGTTTTGTCTGTGACAACGACATATCTATATCACAGTTAGAAATTCTGTCAACGCTAAATAATGACATTGCTTTTGTGTATCGAACTGAGAAAGTGACTCGGTAAGAGGAACGTGTGGTGAAATAGACAAATGAAATTATATAAACAGTTAAATCAGTAATCTACTGTCATAACATATAAAAAGCTCGCCCCTGTGAGATATCAACAAAACAATAGAAAAATAGCTCACATCAAAGCCTTCACCGAGTATTCGGCGCCAGCGAAGGTTTTCCGTCTTGAAATGTTGAACGCCTCACTGGTTGACACATAGCCGAGTAGATCTAGATCCTTACAAGGTTATTTTATGTAATGAGTAGATTTTTTACTATTTGTTTTGATTAGACTACTCCTGCTCACGACCTTATATTAAATCCGGACATCCCGCTTCCAAGCTGCGCGAACCTATTTCACTGCGCATGCGCTATGAGTGCATTCCAGCGCAGCGCAGCACATCTGTTGAAACCATTTTTTACCCCAAGCGCTGGGGTGAATTTAGTGAATCGTTTGAACTCCGATTTCGCGGGGTTGTTTTCATCGCGTTATGTTTCAACTTTATAAGTTGAATTTGCATTTTTGATGATTTGTATCTATATACCGAAAGGTATCGGAATCTGCAAAGTTGTGTTTTACGTTGCATGTGACCTTTAAAGTCACTGCTGAGAACATAACATATTCACCATGCGTATTTACACTTTGTCATGATATGTCGACTGGCTTTCATTACATTCAGTTTTCTTAAAGTAAAACGAATAACCGCCAGGTGTTCAAGTCAATTTTACAAGGTTTGATAAAGGGAAATAACTCTTCCGGACTTCTTGACAAAACACATAAAACCAACATTGGTTTTGGACTACAGCCCCGTCGTAAGTGTAGGTTTATAACACTTACAGATGGTGAGTACCTGAGATGCTTACCAGATTGTGAAGTACTAATTTGATCATAGTCCACATGCTGTTCAAAGTACCCGTGATCTAGAGGAATGGTTTCAGGCAAGATGGCGAATAATGGTTTGGCGAATAATTGAATATTAATACCTGGCAAGTTAATGTCAACCTTGTCTTATATTGCAGGGTTTTCCCAAATAAATTCCAACCACAGTGCCCGTGCCAACTGAGGCTTCTGACTGTCTCTAGACATAGGCATGAAAACCCATTAAAGAGTACCAAAACCTTATATACTCCACTTTCTAAAATATAACATGCATAGCATTCGGCATGGGAGCCATGATAATTCTGACAGTACGTGACCTAGACAACCAGAATTCCATTCTTGTGAAGGCCGTGGCAGCTGAGTGGGTAAGGTTGCTGACTTTGTGTGCTGGCGAATAGGTGCCTAGCTGTGGGTGTGTGGGTTCGAATCTCAGATGGGATTCACCCCAAAAAAGCTCTAGAGTATGTACGATATTGCGAAAGAGTTATTCCAAATATAACAAGTCACTTATACACAGTAGCTGGTCAGTATGGCATTTAGCCACATGGTGTTGTTGATAAAAACGCTCTTTGTCCACGTCCCTCTGTTACCTTATATAGTAGTGCAACGAACACAGTTCATGGCTTGCTGTTGCTTCAATCTGCTGTCGTTAGCTTGGTCCCACAATGCACTTTGTACAACATTTCGTGATTAGCTGAAGCAAATTATTCTAACAAATTGAGTTAAAATAATTTGTATTGTTACATGGAGTTTAGGATAACACACGGAACTTGTAATATAAAAATGACATTTGCAAGCGTAAACTAACCATCTGACTGATGTTAACAGGTTAAAACGTATTGTATCTCTCTCTGGAGAGCTCTGTTTGAGGATTTTCAGTTTATGGCACCTCTTCTTTCAGATTTAAGATTAAACCAGTGAAGTACAAACTTGGTTTCAAATTCACCATCTTAGAAGAGAAGTAGAAACTGCTCTACTTCCGTGTGTAGTGTAATAAAGTAGAGTTTTGTCCTGTATTTTGACGTCATTATAGTTCAAGGCCAACTTGTTTTATTACACTACACATGATGTTAGAGTAAACATTATTTCTTTCATAGGGAATTTCACAAACAATTAGTGTAACAATGCTTTCACAGGTGTCTGTTATTTGTTTTATTGCATCTTCGCAAACTTTAACATGTCAAAAACCCAAAATGAAATAAGCTTGCGAAAATGAAACAAGTTATAACTTCATTTAATGCACATATTTAGCAGGGTGGGTTTATACAAACAGTTTTGTATCTGGGCCATTTTATATCACTGTTTTATTTATCCGGTCGATTGAGTCTCTTGCTATGATAACTGCTGCATTAATGCGAAAAGAGGAATTGTATTAGCCACCCACATGGATTATGGGAGACCTTTTAATACTCTCCTTCCACTTTTCTACATACACACCTAAATATTTAACATAATCATAACTCGTAGACATACTTAAAACAAACAAAATTAAAACAGACAACACATTCCTCTCACATACAGAACATGTTCACACTTCTTACAACCAATACATACAACCCAAGCCCACCCACCCACACCCCAACACGCACGCACACACACACAGGCACGCACACACACGCACGACCCGAATGGTGACCATTCCTTATGGCCGCCATTTTGTTTGTGACGTCATAAGGGGAACGAGATCCTCTCGGAGGGTAATGACCGTTGCGAGGTCATGAAGAGGTCATGTCGTACCAGCGCTTTTCCGAGGTCCCATTTAGGTCACCGTTTAAAAGAGGTGGCACCATGCTACTAACACTTACATACGTTATCTCAGCATTGGAATGATCCATATGTGACCATGATTTCTTACACACCCGTGGGTGAGAAACCCATGTGAGAAAACTGGTATCACACATATGTGTGAGATCGATTTCTAATCCCGTGATTGGCTACTCCATGGTGATGACCTACGGTCAGGTTATGACGGACTACTTTCCTGATTAAAATTCATTGATAAGTTACTCGTGCTTCAATCGAACAGAAACCTGTTACTCTTGCAAAAAATACCCCTTTACACCTACCTGTTATTTTCGCGATTGCAACATAAATAGGTAATCTATACAATGAGTCACAAGTAGAATAAATATAACACGAATCTATTTATTTTCTAATTCTTTTTATTAAAACTTTTGATTTCTAGTCATGAATTCAAAATGGCTCGAACAATCAGTGATACCTGTGTAAACAATTATGTGAAAATCACCGTTAGAGATAAAGCCCGGGATTCCCTTCGAATATTCAAAATGTACAACATTGGTACTTTTACTGGAGAGATGCGACAAGTGTCATGTGTCGTCTTACAAAAATACCTGAAACGATAACGCCAGTGCCTGTCCATTGTGAGATCGATTTGCCTCGTTGTTTCTTTGATTCATTGATGAAGATGACATGTTTCACTGATAAACATGATGAAGACCCACTTCCAGCTCCGAGATACTATGTGATTCCAATGTTATCAAATTCACTCATGACAATCAGAACCAAAACACTCTCATTGAAACAATGTACAACATGGAACGTTTTGCAAGGCTTCATGAGTGCAAATGGCGGCACACGTCTTTTCTATTCAATCGAACATGTACAGGAACGGTTGATCTACACAAAAGTCATTGCTCAAGACATTCCTCCGACGCATGATAATGACAAGTGTATGTCTTTATAACATACAGGATGTAATCAACTCACATTTCAAACTGAAAACTCCATAAATTCCATTACATTCCAAGTGGCAGTTTCTGGCTCGGGAAAA